TCCATGGTGAGGTTCTGGCTTTAATAAATCAGTGATTCAGGGGGCGCCTGGGTGGCTCAGTCGTTAAGCGTCTGCCTTTGGCTCAGGTCATGGTCCCAGGGTCCTGGGATTGAGCCCCACATCGGGCTCCCTGCTCAGCGGGAAGCCTGCTTCCCCCTCTCTCACTCCCCCTGCTTGTGTTCCCTCTCTCACTGTTTCTATCAAATAAATAAAATCTTAAAAAAATAATAAAAAAAATAAATCAGTGACTCAGGCCTGCATGCTAATGCAGCATTTAGCGGTTAATTTTATGGACCCACAGCTGGTTCGGTCATGCCAACTAGGATTTGCTGTTCCAGCGGATGAAGGTGTACCTGGTTTTGTAGCTACTGTTACACATCCTATATGCAAGGCCCGCTCCTTGGCTGGAGCTTGGGAACGTCTGCCACACTTGTGCCTGGTTCCTCATAGCAGTAGTCCCCAGGTTCAAATCCCAGCTCTGCCCTTGCCAGCTGTGTGACTTTGGACAAATAATCTTAGTTTCCCCATCTGTAAAATGGCTGTGGTAATAATAGCACTGGGCTATTATGATTTGGTTCGTTAATACACAGAAAACACAAACATTACCTGGCACACACCAAGTGCTCCGCACTCGCTGGTCAGTGTTCCTACGGGGACCAGTAGAGGGTCTGGGCTCAGAGGTGGCCACCTGTCTCCATGTTGGGTTCTGGCTGTGGGCACTGCTAGCATTCTCCCAGGAGCAAATGGCTGCACATTACCCCTTAAGACCTGTAACTTACTAGCTGCTAAAAATGCAGTAAGAAAATGTAGTTTTGTTTGTAGTACTTTTTTTGGCCTGGATATTGCTTGAAAAAAGTGAACTACTAAACTTGGAAAATTTGTCAAAAATGTTATAGTGGGATCCATGCATACATGTAGTTAGCACATTATCAACAGAATTTTAGATTTAATCCTATATAATATTTAAGCTATTTTATTTCTGCCATTGAGTTCCAGCACTTTGGCCATCATACTTTGTCATCATAATGAATAGCATTCATCAGTACAATTACTACATTTTATGAATGTAAATAAAGAGTGCCTATCTAACCTTCTTCTTTGAGGTATTCACCAGTCAAAACCAAGTACTTTCAAGGAAGGGGTTACAACTCTGATTTTTCAGTTACGAGGGAGGAAGTAAAATGTCCTAAGATTTGAACCAAATATCCAGATCATCCAAAAATGGTTTCAAAATGGACTAATCTGTCATTTCCCTAGAAAGTAAACTAATTTTATGTGGAAAAAAGTTGTGACAAAATGGAATCTAAGGTCCTTATTTTCAGCATACCAAATCTGATACAGAAACCATATGTGCTGGAAGTCACATATGTAACTTCTATTAAGGAGAACTATTTAACTTCTACATAAGAATCCAGGAAAACAAAGCTGGGCTCCACCGTGGAACCTTATGGATATTATTTCATGGAAGGCTAATGTGAGGCTTCAATGTAAAGCATGTAAGCACAGGAGTCAAGACATAGAAAGAGCTCAGGAAACATTGGCTATTACAATATGTGGAAAAAATACAGCCTCCCAAATCAGTGAATTTTAAGGACGATTTGTACCAACTATAGTTAAAACCAGGCAGCCTTTCTCAGGAATGTGATAAAAAATAATTTAGACCAACTCTTGGTCTCAGTTCAGGTTGTGATCTCAGGCTTGTGAGACCAAGCCCCGCGCCGGGCTCTGAGCTCAGGGCAGATTCTGCTTGTTTCTCTCTCCCTCTCGCTCTCTAAAATAAATGAATCTTAAAAAAATTTTAAAAACCTCTCCCTCCTTCACCCCACAAAAGCAGCTGGTGGAAGACCCATTCCTCTCTTCATAAGAGTATGTGGGAGGTGGAGGGGACACGGAATCCTCCTGCCAAAACGGCAAGTGACTTAAGTTGCTACATGTAGGGACTGACAATTTTCTGCCTTAAAATGTTTTAGGACTCTTAAACTCTCATTCAGAATATTCTGCTGAAATTCATCTAGTATGAAGATCTCATTCAGACTTTTGGCTACATGTCCATCTCTGTAAAAGAATGTTAGGTAAGCTTTCCAAAGATCAAGAGAAAACTCCCCAAAACGGCAGCAGTTCCTTTTGTCCGCATGCTGAGACGCTCCTTAATCAGCTAGTAAGTCTCCTGTAATAGACCTTTATGAAGCGGCAGGAAGTTGAATTGTGATGTGGATGTTTACCCTCAGCATGTACACAGTCACTGGCTGGTGTTTCCAGATCTGAAGCAGGAAGAGGTGGTGGGGGAAGAAAGGATAAAAGGCAGCAGTGGGGTGGCTGGGTGATGGACACTGGGGAGGGTATGTGCTATGGTGAGCGCTGTGAATTGTGTAAGACTGATGAATCACAGACCTGTGCCTCTGAAACAAATACATTATATGTTTAAAAAAAAAAGGAGGAAGGGAAAAATGAAGGGGGGGGAACTCGGAGGGGGAGACGAACCATGACAGACTGTGGACTCTGAGAAACAAACTGAGGGTTCTAGAGGGGAGGGGGTGGGGGGATGGTTTAGCCTGGTGATGGGTATTAAAGAGGGCATGTACTGAATGGAGCACTGAGTGTTATACACAATCATGGAATGCTACATAAAAAATAAAAAGATGGCAGGCAGCTACCTGCAGACACAAGGGTGAGGTGAGCGCTCCTCGAGTCAGGGAGAAATAATTGTTAAACCCCAACCTAGAATAATGGAAGTAATTTCCTCAAGCATTAGCAGGCAACGTTTGATGATGGTTTTTTGTAGCACTCTGGGTAATTCAGTTCCATTTAAAAAAGGACCAGATGGGGCAGAACTGCTTGCTTTTTGGGTTCCCATGTTGATTATTCTTGGGGCATTGTTTTCCATGTGTGCGATCAACTATGCCCAGAAAGCTCATGTTATGACCCTATGCTGGCCTGCCTTCCCCCAGCCCATGCTGACCAGGGTAAGGGGCACAGAAGGCTGCTGTTAGCAGTTGGGCCTGGACACCCAGAGTGCATAACCCTTGGTCATGGGCTTCCCCTAATGTTACCTTGATGTACCTAGCCACCCATTCTACAGAACTTGTCTGTTTCCAGATGGGCCCCTTTGGGTCCCCACTGGGTGTAGAGGAATGTTACTTGGAAGTATGGCCCATGAACCAGAACTGGTCTGTGAGGAGTACAGAAAATAAGCATTTAGAAACTTCCATTGTAATCTGACAGTGCTGTAACATTCAAGCACCTGATTCTGTATTCTATAAAAGTGTCCACAATACACCAGAGGAGTAAAAACTGTCTCTGTCACATACCATGCTGCCTGGGAGCTTGGGCCACCTGGCAGGAAACAAACTGTGGATGCTGCCAGACCTGGGTTCAAATACTGGTGAGAGCACTTTCTGGAAGTATGACCTTGCATAATCACTTCACCTTTTTGAGTCCCGATTTCCTTATCAGGAAAATGAGGATAATCCTAATGGGTCAACCGTAGCAACGGCAAGCACAGTCACTGGACGGTTCTCATGCTGTGCAGGCTTGGAGTATCTTCACGCATTCACTCACCACTCTCCATCATCCTCTGTGAGGAGTATTACCACCACCACCCGCATTTTACAGTTGAGGGGACCAACGCACAGAGAAGGTAAATAACCTGGTCTAGTCACACAGCCGTTAAGTGGCAGAGCTGGGATTCAAACTTTGGCAGTCTGACTTCAGCTCTGAGCTCCAACCCACTCTGCAGTGATGTGGATCAGATGAACAACGTACCTGTGTGACCTACTCTGCCCAGGGACTGCTGTCGATCTGCCACTGTCCTCTCGAGTGGCTGAACCCACCCTGCAGAGCCCAGGCTTTCTGAGTCCTGTTGCAGAGCAGGAAGACTGCTCACCGTCGTGGGGACACTGGTGAGACACTTCCTTGGTGCTGCCCCATCCCCACCCAGGATGGGACCACCATGCTGGGGAGAATCTCGGGTCCCCTGCCAGGCCTTTGGACACACAGACTGCCGGGCACGCACTCTGGGCCAGCCCTGGACGCCTTCCCACTGCCTTCCTGGCTCATGTGATAGAGGGTTTGCATGTTCTGGGAAGTAGAAGGCAGGGTCATGAAAGGTCTAAGCCTTAGTTTAACCAGCTCACTACACAGGTAAGATGAATAATTCAGTGGCTTTTCAACTTTTAAAGCAGTGTGAGCATGCATACACACACACATAATCCCAGACAATACCCTTTACAGAATCCCAAAATATAGAATAGGTAAAGTGGAGTTTGTGACAGGAGAAGGGTGGAGGGTCTGCAGCTGTCTTCCCAGACTTTTCTACAACAGCACCCCCGCTCTGCCCTGCCAGGTCCTAAGGTGAAAATTGTAGGCCTGAAGAATAGTCCAAAAAGCTATCTTCAGAAATCTTTCAAAATTAGTATTCAACACTCTTCAAAGTTGTAAGATAGAGAGGCTGGAGACAAACTGGAAATCAGCCTCATGTAGAAAAGGAGGTCTAAATCCTCATAGGAGAACGTGATTCCTAAGTATGAAGGACATACGTACATAAAGCGAAGACATTCACAACTTTGACCCAAACCAGCTGTGATGTGGGGGACATCCTAAGCCTTTCTGGGTCTCCGTTCCCTTGCTTGTGAACTGAAGGCACCAAATAAGGTTACCTTTCAGGGTTCCTTGCAAGTAAGATACTTGTGATTTTATATGGTTCTGTGAGCAGTCTTTTCTGGAAACTTGGGGGCAGGGGGATGAAAGACACCCATCTGTTCCAGGGAATGGGTGAGGAAATGGCAGGACACATCTGTAAGCAGAGGCAGCCAGCATGGCGCCCGGATGAAAAGGCTCGTGAAGCTGTAGGACGATGAGAGGCAGTAGGACTCGGTGCATCTGAAGGGTAGTCACACCGACCTCCGTGACAGAGGCCAGGAACATCTGCAGACTCAGGGCCAGCAATCCCAAGACAACACTCAGAAAGTGGAGGGCTGGGTGATAATCAAATGATCACATTCTTCCCCTGACAAGTTTTATTGAATGAAGAGCACCTTTCAGGATGGAAGGAATACAACACACATAGTCAATCTTCACTTTGGAAGCGTGAACACCATCATGAAATTCCATATATCACTTTGAGGATGACTTTGTCTATACTCAACATTGTCGAGTTTGATAGCTTTCATTCCAAAGCTTAAAAAAGTGAATTAAGAAAATAGATTTTTTAGTGACACTGTTAATGACCACTGAAAGTATAACCAGCATACATGTTCACAAGAGTGAGCTATGCAGAGTTTTGTTAGGGGTGTAGATAAAACTTTAAGAGTGAACATCCGGTACAAATTAGAACGTCTATTATTTGGGGCTTGAGGTCTTAAACCTAAATTTCAGAGTGCTTTAAGATTCTCAGGAGGGAACCCACATATTCCCATGTGTATCTGGTGCTTTGGTATAAGGAATGTTCCAAATCCATGGCCGATCTGGGGAAAAAACAAACAAACCACATTATATATGTATAATACTTATTTGAACAGGATTACAAAAAATTCACTTACCTGATAGGATAAAACCACCCATGTGTTTACCTGATAGGATAAAACCACCACGTTTACACATTTTTAAGAACCCCTCTTTTTAACCCCTCTTTTTAACCCCTCTTTTTAAAGATTTATGAGAGTGAGTGCCCGTGAGCACACATGGGGGTGGAGGGGAGAGGGAGAATGAATCTCAAGCTGACTCCGTGCTGAGCCCAGAGCCCAATGCGGGGCTCAATCTCCCGACCATGAGATCACAACCCGAGCCAAAACCAAGAGTCAGACGCTTAACCAACTGCACCACTCAGCCACCCCCTTAAGAACCCTTTCTGAACCAACCCCAGACAACAGCCCATTTCAGACAGTGGCTACTGGCAAAAGTTCATGCTAAGAAACAGGCAAGTGAACATGGAAGCAGGCCAGCAGAAACCAGGGTGTACATCCTGGCTTGCTGCTTATATTGACCAGTCACTTCGCCTCTGTCAGCCTCAGTGTCCTTCTGTGTACCTGACTGTGGTGCGGTCAGGAGGGGAAGTGAGATATAAACGCACGCAGTGTCCGAGAGCATCCCGCAGAGAGAGAACCTCACAAAGGGCAGCTGTTATCTCTTACAACGCTGGAGAAACCAACAGTAACAGATGGCACACTGCTCTCAGTGGGTCATGGTCACATATAATCGAGAGGCCTGGGGCCAGCTCCACGAAATGGTTTTGTTCTGTTCCTTAAGGCTAATAATTGATGAGGCATGAAGGTCTCTGTATAATGACTGCAGACCAATGGTGAAGCAAGCAACATGCCTTGGTAGGACACAAGGGAGAGAACACTAAAGACCTAGGTTCAGGTCCTGCCCTCATCCTTCTCTGCAAACTCGGGAAAACACTGGGATCTTGGCCTCGGGTTCCTCAGCTGTGAAATGGGAATTAGCTACATAAGCAACCTCTCAGGAGGATTGTGAAACATAACTGAGAAAACACCTGTGGAAGTTCCTGGCATGTTGCAGGTGCTCAATAACCATGAACTTTCCCCCCTTTTAACTGGGGTTTCAGAAATTGAAAAAAATCAGAACAAATCACTTTTACCATGCATAACTACTGCTAGAATCAAACCAATTCTAAAGAACCATAATAGTAGGGGTAGGGTGTAAATAGGTTGCTAGGGTTAAGAATCAATCCCCACATAACTGGCCCGAAGAGGAGGAGAGCTACAACTCTGAAGGGGTGAATGCTTACAGTAAGGCGGCCACGCGGCACCATCGGCAGAAACAGCCGCCCAGCACCGCCAATGTGCTCTCGGGGAAGCTTTCTCCTCTTCCTGAATAGAGGCAGAGCGCAGCTCGGAGGACGGCCTGGCAAACAAAGGGAGGCTCTCCTCACACCTCACGGTGCTGAATAATGGCTGCACCAGCATGCAAACAGCAGGACCCAGCAGATGTGTGGGGAAAGAAGGCCGAAGATGGCAACAAGTCATCAGAACCCTGTTCTCTTGTCTTCGGCGTTGAGATGGTGTGAGAGCCTGAAGCAAGCTTGTTAAGCCTGAGAGAGAGCCATAATCCAGGGCCTGTGTGACACACTTCATCAAAGGCTGAAGGTTTGGCAGTGCTGGAGACCCCCCACAGCTCCCCACTGGCCTGAGCAAACCACTGGCTCTCTTCCACGGGGGACACGGTCTTCTGTGGCTGGACTTCTCCCATCTTTTCTTGCAGACTGCTCCATTGGGTAACATCAGCTCTACTTCATCCCCAAGGCAAAGGACACCCCGATCCTTGCTATGGCAGTAGCTATTAGACTCTTCACTGAGGCAGCATCTTCGAGACCACCACTGCATTTATTCCTCTCCCTCACAATTAGCCAACAATGACCAAGTAAGGTGACTATCCGCTGGCAAATCCCTGGACACACTGCTCGATAAATGAGCAAATGTCTCCGCCTGCGGGCTGACCATTTGCCATGCCGGCTGAAAGGTTCACCACTACCTGGAGAGAGAGACGCAAAAAGGCTAACAGGAAGGTAAGAGGTGGTTGTGACTCTGTTGTCTTTTGACCATTACTGAAGTCAGCATTCACACTTACTGGCTTAGATGAAAGCCTATTTGAAGCAATCCTCCTAAATTGTCCCATGAAAGAAAAACTTGCCTCATGAAATAGTCCTGCATATATCTGAAATATCTGTCGAGTGCTGGTTAGATGCCAGGTACTCTGCTAGACAAAGTGGGGGTCCTCTCAGTTTACAGTCCAGGGGGACAGACAGACGAGCAAGCAGACCGTGGTGCCAGAATTCTGAACTTGACCGCCGTCAGCGCAGTGGTTCCCGAACCTGGCTGATGTGAGAACTGCTGGAGCATTTCCCCAGAGCTCACCTCAAGGGAGTTTGTTTCCATCCGTCTGGGCTGGGGCCTGGCATTACACATTCTTATCAAGTTCTAAAGGCGATCTTAACACAATCAGAGTTTGAGATCAGAGGCTAAATGGGATGAGCTTTTTCCTGTGATATAATGGAAGGATTTAAAACAGGAGTGTGACAAGATGAGAGGTGCGTGGCAGCAGGGGAGAAGATGATGTCCACTGGGAGGGGACCAACACCAGGGAGATGAATAGGCAGTGCAGTCTAGGTGAGACACAGTGAGGCCAACATTAAGGCCATGGCAGGAAGGCTGGGGATGAGGGGACAACCAAGGAGTTTTCTGTCTATTCCATCTGTCCCTGTGGTCGGTCAGTTGAGGACTGCGTGCACCTGACATCTCTAACTCCAGAACTCAGCTCTCTGTGGGGAGGTGGCACAGTGTGACGGTAAAGGGGTCATGGACATGGCAGACATGGGGCCCTGACCAAGTTGACCCAAGTGCTTAGGTTCCTTGTCTATAAAGTAGGGGTTATATTAGTAGTGGTATCATGGGGGTAGTGAGGATTCAATAAACTCAGGTCAAGTGCTCATAGCAGTTCCTGGCACATAATAAGTACTTGATGAGTGCTAGCTGCTATAATATTATAATGACCACTACTCTCAACTCACAGTGGGTGAGGATTGTCATTATTCCATATGCTGTGTAGGTTCACCAGGTTTTTTAACAGCCAGACAAACCCAAGTACAATACCCCATTCTACTTATCCAGGAAATAAGCTCTTTGCTCTAATCCTCTAAGAAATGGCCCTTGTGTTAAACAGGCCTCGACCCCCATGTCCAAACACCCATACACACATTTCCCACTGTCTTCAGGGGAACTTGAATCCTACCTATAGAAGCCACTGTCTGTCACCTGAGCAATCACCTTTAATTCTTTCCTTCTATCAGGCACAGACTATGTTTGTATATGGCCTGTGTGTGATCCCAAAGAGAAGAACTAATGAGAAGATTTCTGATGCCACTTTACCTTAGCCTACTCTGAAATCAACGAATGGATAAAAGACTTGCCAGCTTGCAATACAAAGGAAAGCTCTGAAATATTTTACACTGGGTTACTGACCTAGTAGAGATGCAATCTTTGGTAATTGTGATTCCAGTGTTATCTGAAACCCATTAACTCTCTTTTCTGTGACGATCTCCCATATTAATCCGTGACTAAAAAAAGCACAAGAGAACAATCTATCCAGTGGGAGGAAGTATAATTCAAATTGCTAAAAACCAAATACTGATTTCAATACCATCTGATAAAATTACTTTTTACTTTGATAATTTCAGATTTCCTTAATGTTTCTGTTTACAAAGTAATTTTAAAAGCTAAGCTGGAAGTTTGTGTCAGGCTTCTGTTTGTACTATGAAACAAAGATTTTATTAAAGGAGATGATCAAAATCATGTCTAAAAACCTTTCCTGGTTCTCTCATTAAAAAAAAAAATCCTCATTTCTAAAGATCTTTCAAAAACAGGTCCTTGAAAATTAAGCATATCAACAACGATTTTAAGTGACTTACTTATTTTGCATTTTCTTTGGATTAGAAAGTTAAATCAGCTTTGTTTCCCTTACATACTTTATGAATCAGTCTCTACTATTTAGCAATAATTATGAGAGGTCTAGACTGAAGTTGTTTATTCCTGTACTATCTAAATTCAAGGAATTATTTCAAATGAATCAAGCAGTAGGGGGAATGGTTACATTATCTGGGAACCAATGGTTTAAAGCACTTTAGAGGATTATATACACTACATATATGCTAAATCTAGATCAGGTGTATCTCATGTGCCAAGTAGGTTTTAATGACCTCTCCTACTGAGCAATTACATATACAGCTAATTAGCTTAGTTCTAGACATTTAAAACTTAAATTCTAAAATATACTAAACCTGCAAAAGATACAACTTGGCAGATACCACCTTAACCAATTGATCAATACTGACTTCATCAGTAATCAGGCAGATTGTTATCATGTGACTCCTTATATGATGCACTAAGAAAAACAACATCTCTTCTGTGGTGTTCTTGGCAAAAGTGCACACTCTGGACCTACTTACAAAAAAACAATGGGCAAACCAAACATACAATGTCCCTCACCGTCTATAAAATAACTGGCCTATGCTCAGCAAAGTGTCAGTATCATGAAATGCACAAAAATCTTGTGGCACTATTCCACATTAATGGAGACTAAAGAGAGTGATGAACAAATGTGACATGTAACCTGAAACTTCCCTTTTGCTATAAAGGACATTACTGGGGCAACAGATGAAATCTGAATAAATTCTATAGATGATAGTATTCAATCAATGTTAATTCCTGATTTTGGTAACTGTACTGTGGCTATGTAAGATAATGTTTTTAAGAAATATATATTGAAGTATTTAAAAATTGCAAACATCATGTTTACAACTTTCAAATGGATCAGAAAAAAGTTAACATGAGAAAGAAGGATTATGTAAATATTATAAAATATTCACATTTGGAGAACCTGGGTGAAGAGAATATGGGAATTCCTTGTACTTAGAACTTTTTTCTAAATCTGAAATTATGACAAAAAATAAAAAAAAATACTACAGTTGATTCTTGAACAACGTGAGTTTAACTGCACAGGTCCACTCACACGTGGGCTTTTTTCCCAATAAATATACATACATTACTTAAGTGTATTTTCTCTTCCTTATAATTTTCATTTTCTTTTCTCTAGCTTACTTTATTGTGGGAATACAGTGTAAAATACATATAACATACAAAATATGTGTTGACTGTTTATGTTATCAGTAAGGCTTCTGGTCAACAGTAGGCTATTAGTAGTTAAGTTTTTGGGGAGTCAAAGGTTATATGCAGATTTTCAACTGCACTGGGGGTCAGTGTCTCTACTCCCGGCATTGTGCAAGGGCCAACTGTATACATATTACCATGTGTATTTAAAAAAAAGGAGACAAAAAACACCAAAAAACAACCCAGATCATTTAACATAACTGAAGTCTCTGAAGCTCTGTATGTTCAATTATTCTTAAATTTGACATGTAATTTATTCTTTAAGTCCAAATAAGATAGGCTTTACTTAACCTTACCTTGTTTACCCGCTTTATAGTGTATCAGAGAATACAAAGAATGTAAGCTAAAAAGGGAGTACGAAGCAGATGCCTCTGGCATATAATAGCTCAGGAGAGATCACATACTGGTCTATTTTATTCTTTTCCGGCTCAGGGTCACACAGCAAGTGGGACATATGGAAATAAGATTTAAAATGTTGGTGATTTTGCTTTATAAAAGATTTTTTTTCCTCAACGTCAGACGGGTAATGTGCCGAGGTCGTAACAAGGTTTGAGGGAGGCGCGTGGCGTGCGTGTCACACACTGGCGTGAACACCCAATCATCACACTTATGAACTACAAAAGGACCTAAAGATTTCCTTTAAAACTACAACTCCTATTAGTCAAATGAGTTTGGTTAGGTATAACTTTTCAGGTGAAGAGTAATTTCAGCTCCGTAAGGCCAGGGATTTGTGTCTGTCTTGTTCACAGACATATTCCAAGTACCTAGACAGTGACTGCACGCAGCAGGTTCTTAGTAATACATCTGTGGAGAGAACAGATAAGCAGCAAGTACTGTGTAAAGCAAGGTGTACCTGCAGCTCTGTCTGTTTTGCTTTATTATTTGATCAATTTCTTGGTTTCAGGGATGTCTGCTGGTATCTTTCAATAAACTGTAATTTGTTCACAGCAATGTATTTCTTTGCTAAGCTTTCTGTATAGTCCTCAGATTTTAAAAAATAACGAACAAGATCTTATACATGTTACAGTGGTTTGAAAACCATTTTCAAACAAAGTGCTTTTGAAATGTTCTTAATCACTCACTTTTCCAAATCTTAGACTTCTTTCTTCTAGTCCGTAGGATTCCCTTGAATGCCGGCTACATGTGAACTGGTGATATCTGAGTGACTGGCATTATTCTGCATGTTACTGAAGCAGTGTGGAAGGTAAAACTGTACTAATAAAAAATAAAATGCTCCAGTCTCTCTCGTATCTATCTTTCAAAGGAAATGTATAAACCCAGAAAACTTCGCTAAACAATGGAAAACATTCTGCTTACTGGCCAAATAAAAGATTCATTGTTACAGAGTCTAAGATACTACCCAGTTGGAAACTTTTAAATTCTTGAGAATGCTTTTCCTATCAAAACTGAAGGGACCTCAGGATATTTTTAAGGCTCCTCTATCTCTTTCATTCTTGCTTTCAAAGTCCTTTGGAGATTAGGATTAAGTGGAGGAGGTGGAATTCCAGCCAAGGTTCTGGGCTGGGCGTGGGAAGTACAGAGCCCAAGGCCAGACCACAGGAAGTCAAACTCAGTCAGTCCATGGTCCTCCGTCCCCACCTCTACTAAGCTTATTCAGAACTCAGGTTTAAGGAGGAAAGAAAAAAAGAAAAAGAAAGGAATACGAACAGACAGTAGGAGAAAAAACAAAGGTACAGCATAAAGCTGGAAGGTGGAAGGAGAGGTTTTCACCGTCAGGTCCTGTGACGCTGGGTGGGTTTAGGGACTGTCCTACATGGGCCTTAGGCTCTTTTCATCCTCCGCTCAGCAAGGGGAAGGGGAGAAAATGAACACTGGTCCATTATTACACGCCAGGAACTGAACTGGATATTCTAAATAACAGAAACAACAGCTAATGTCTAGTGACTGCTAACTCTGCACCAGAGACTGTGTTAGGTACTTTACAGATAACATCTTGGTTACTTTTTTCAACAAACTCTATGAAGTAGGCACTCTTATTTTCCCACTTTACAAATAGAGACACTAAGGCCTAGAGAAAGCAAATAACTGCCCAAGGTCACTTAGGTTGCAAGGTTGGCACAAACACAGCCTAGTTCTAAAGCACTATTTTTCACTTGTGTGTGGGGGTGGGGGGGTGGGGAGGGGGTTGGGAGGAGACAGATTCCCTGAAATTCTGATAAAACTGATATAATCTTGCTAGTGAAAAATGAAGATGCATAAATATACAACAAATTTAGAGGACTCAATATACATAAATTGGAAAGAAGGAAAAAAGAACACCTTCTGAAACTTGCTATCAATATGACTGATTATAGCTCTAGAAAGTCACCTACCAGAGGCAGCTGCACCCTAGACAGCATGAGACTATATGGACACATCTGACAAAGTTAATACTATCGAAGAAACAGGTCCACTGGAAGGGGAAGATCTGGTTTACCACCAAAACCAGAAAGGACAAGTGAGGGTGAGGAAGTACCTAGAACCCATCTAACACTGTCCAGGGAAGAAAGGGACCCAGTGGGCAGGGCTGACTCTGTTAGGGAATCAGAGATTTTGGAATATTAATGGAGTGATGTCATTAAAACTTTCCAAACAAAAACCAAATTTTCCCTGTTCAGATTCAGAATTTACTCAAAAATCATTGACTATAATCTGGCTATCTGTGTAGGCATCTATCTTCCAGGGGAAAATAATGCTGGTTGTAATAGGACCTTTTGCCATTTTAAATTAATAAGCATGTCCTGATTATACATCTGCTCCTGTGTGAGTCTGGGAAGTGTGAACTTGCTTTAAAGACAGATATTCTAGGGCTAAGACAAGTGCAGCCTGTGGGGCTGGGTCAGACCTGGGATGGAGCTGGTCCCACTCATGCTGGCCAGCTTTCTTCCAAAAACATGAACCTGAACCAATGTTCCAACGACTTTCTATTACGAAAAATACTTGGTCACTGCCTTTAAGAAAGTCATAGTCTAGGGCAGCCTGGCGATCTCCCCTTTAAGAGGATGGGAGGTATCTGTGAAGTCAAAATTATTTTCATCAAGATATTAAGCCATTATTTGTCATCTTCACTTCTTGTGAGTGTACAGAGGCTTTGTGACAGGATATTGCAACAGAGCAGCTATGATAATTCAGCAGTCTTTCATTAACCCAGATAGTAAAGAGGCCTGCCTGCAAAAATTGTAAATAATGCCACCTTCCTCACCTTTTTCTGGAAATAGTTAAAAAAAAAAAAATTACATATATATATAATAGGTTTATTATTTTTAAAAACTAATATAAAAAATTCTTGGTTTTGAGTTCTAATATAGTACTCTCAACAGATATAAAAACCCATGTAAGTAAAAGCTCCTTGTGGTCCTTAATGATAAGAGTGCAGAGAGTTTCCTGAACCAACCAGTTTGAGAACGATAGCTGTAGTGGCCCCAGACAGGGCAGCGAAGGGGCCTCCACAAACCTGCATTTCCAAAGTATTCCCTGAGCCAATCTCCCACTGAGAGACTGACGCCTTCTTCTGGGCACTGTTTCTGTTTCATACATAACACCCATGATCTCCCTCCATGTGTGCCCTACCTTTACTTCCATACAGTTCTGGAGGCAGGTCGAATGGTATAGGAAAGGCGGCCGCTGGCTCCTTGCTCCCTGAGAAGAATTTCTGTTTTACTTTGAAGCTGTCCAGGCCCTGCAAACACAAAGAGGGCATCTATGATTGCACCCCATTTTCTGAAAAAGATCTCAAGAAGCAATTATATCTGTATGGTACTCACTTGGCAAAACCGAAGTTATTTCAGAGCTATTTTCAATGTTTGATAGATCAGATATATTTACAACTCCCCTAATCTTTCCTAAAAATAAGAGGTTCAAATTTTAAAAATTAAATTATAACAAAGTTCACAGACGTTTAATAAAGGAAATAAGAGAGAAAACAATTTTGGATATCACAGCCCATTTCTCCTAACTGCTATGTACAGTTTGCAAGGAGTGTGTAGAAGACACTGTATATAAATAATTTCAATATTGCTATAGTAACAGGCTGCTCACTCTGGTGTAAGAATAAAAGCTGCCTTCATGTATAATGAAAGTGTTCCAATATAATGTGATAGGAATATAAAAACAAAAACTCTTCCAGACTCACCAAAGTGGAAGGTTTATTCCAAGAACTCCAGAATAGGGTATTATTTTTAGATCTTAACCAGGGTACAAGTTAAAGTTGTGTATCTCAGCTGATGTAGAGAACCACTACCGCCTTCTAGGACCTTTACATCAGTACAGGTGCTTAATACGCAAGCCTCATTTTCCCCATGCCTCCACACATTGATCCCCCTCTTCTGATCTCCCTTGGTGGATCATCCCAGCACCTTGTTTGCAAGTCAGTCTGTCTGTTATCCCTTCTGTCCACCCATCTAAACACATACCCATCCTCCATATCCTAAATACCCACATATCAAACAGTGATAATGTCCTTGGAACCCATACAAAGAACTAGAACTATAGTTCTTAGTCTTGATGATCACATAACTGAGTAGGGAAGGCTGCTTGTGGGCACACTGTAGGACATGGTAAGAGCCGGAGTTACGCTGATCTAGGCTCCAGGCCATCTGGTTCTAACACTGCTCTGGCATTCGCTGAACTGCGAGAATGGCTGACACTTGCATTTGTTCCTTCAACACATTATTTCTTGAGTGCCTCTTTGGTGTCAGGCACTGACTGCTGAAGAGTTAAAGATGTCATCGTCCCCGTCCTGATGGGGTACACAGTCTAGTGGGGAGATAATGCATTTATAAAAGTGAAATAATTACATAATTGTGACGACCACTATGAAGAAAAACAGAAGTACTGGGAGAGAGAATAGCAGACCTATTTTAGATGGGGGGGGTGGTGGTGGAATGGGGGGGGATGGTCAATAGGAGCCTCCCTAAAATAAGTGACATTTTAAAGAGGAGTAGGGTTAGGAGAGGCGAAAGTGGAAAGAATATTCCAGGCAGAAGGTGCAGAGGTAGCAAAGAGCATGCATGTTCCAGTAGCTAAAAACAATGGTTAGTGGGACATCCGGCCACTTATTTACTAGGCCTCAATTTCCTCATTTGTAAAATCAGAATAAAGCATCTGGATGTCACCACCTTAAAATGTCTTTCATGTCAACACCTAGCCTTGGTGCTCAGCTGGTGTTCAAGCAATGCTGAGCTGCAAAAATAGGATAAAGGCATCTTGCCTGCTTACTCTACAGGCTTTTCCATTAGATAAATCAATGTGCAAATGCTCTGTGCACATGAAGACTTATAGAGAGGTATGGGCGATGAAGAAAGGGCCAGCACTGATGAAGATGGGGATGAGAAACAGTGAAAGGCAGTAAGTAATAACCAGCTGAATGCTATACAGAAAAGAAATAGCTTTTACCAATTTTGGGATAAGGAAAAGCTTTGTAGAAAACATTACAGCTAGGCCTTGAGAAACTGGGATAATTCTGATAAATAGAGATGGCAGGAAAGAACATCAAGGGAGACCAGCATAAGCCAAGGCAGAGTTGTTAAAGCATAGAGCAGGTAACACCAGGCAGATGGGAAGTGAATGGCCTACACACAGGAGGAGGGCTGAGAACACTGGAGAGAACCAGATGGAGGAGGTTTGAACAGGAAGCAGTATGGGTATCTGTGGCTTGTACCTATTTAACTGGGCCCAATCCCAGGCCATAGTGACTCGGGATGAGCAGGTCGGCCACGTCAGAGGCGTCAGGGAAGAGACCATCTTTCTGCTCAGGAGTTCATTCGGTAAGATGTGAGCCTTGAGCTGCTGGGGGCTCTCACATACTTCAAAATGAACTCTGAAAATACACCCAAACCCATGGATTCAGCTCTGCCTGAAGCAAGGGACTCACCCTCCATGTCTGCCTTATTTCTTACTTGTTTGAGTTGGTTATGTCACAACCCACAGCACCACAAGACCCCAGTTATTAAAGTGTGTGGCCCTTACTTTTATATACAGCGAGGAGTTGCAGGTTTTTGAACCGAGAAGTTCCACTATAAAGGCTGACTGGCACAGATGAAAATAGATCCAACAGGGAATTGTTAGAGCCAGAAGACCGAGAGCTACTACCACACCAATGGGAGATGGATGAGCGAATGGTAATGGGGAAACAAATATCAGCATCATAACAAAAGCTGAGATACAAACAGGTGAGTTCAGAGGAGAGTGGGGTCAGTGGAAAGGGAAGGAAATGGATTTGAAAGAAACTGATGGAAAAATTAAAAATCAGGGATATGTGAGGGCAGAGGAGGAAGGGGGTAGGGAGACCAAGGGCACTTGAAGTGGGACACTATAGCCTGCCCCGGTACCCCCACTTCCTCCTACCCTGGGGAGGGCTGCTGGGCCATCTCCAGAACAGTCAATACTGGTGCTCCTCCTCACAGCTTACCTTCAACAAGTTCTGGATCGGAGGATAATCTTATGCTCTTCCTTGTGCGTATCACTTACTTGCTGTGTGACTCGAGGTGAATTACCTAACTTTTCTGGGCCTGAATTTCCTCATCTATTAAATGGTATGCTGACAGTAAGTTATTTAGAACAATGACTCGCACATGGATGTAAATTAGTACATCCAGGATGTTCTTGTGATGAAATTACTCCTATTTTACAAGGGAGGAAATAAAATGGAGGTTAAATAGTTGCCCAAGGCCGTATGGCTATTAAGCGGTAAGGCTGGAAATCAAACCCAGCCTCTCTGATTCTTAATCTTCTGTTCCTTCAACTAAATGAAGAAATAGTCTCACATTCACCCATCAGGAGCCACAACAAAGGAAGAATTCCTCGAAAATTTAAGAGGTAATATTAAAGCAGACCAAATTAGGAGGAGCCAAATTCTGGAAACCGTGGTTCTTAACATTTGTGACAAGAGGCCAGAGGTTAGGAAGTGATGTCATTTAATGACTATTAAATACTTTATGTGGTGTTTCAGATAAGAACAACTTCCCTCTTCTTTGGCTCCTAGTCCATTTCTGTTATTTTCAAACATATCATCACAAAGGATGGAGAGTCTTTATGGCCTGGCCCAGATCTGATGCCCCAACATGCTTTGGCACATGGCTATTCTGTGGTGTCTTACTTGACATATAAGAAGCTCTGAGCCATCCACGTCTGACAGGAAGCAATACGCTTTCCTGAATGCCATTTCTGATCTAAATTCTAGGGTATTATATGGAAAAAAAAAAAAAAAAAAGTACCACTTTTCCCTTCAATCTGGATGTCAAGTAATTTGAAGCTGTCGTCTAATTATCATTATTTATACATCACAGTGGTATCACTTGGCATTCTGTAAAAGAGGAAGGCACCCTCACAGGCACAGATACTTAAAAAGACAGTTAAGACAATATATTTATAAAATACCAGGTGAGAGGGTGGACATCTATCACACTTGAGAAATTACCGGCTTTTCCCTTCATCAGCTCTGGGAGGAAAAGAGCTGTTATCACCATGATGGATTAAGTTTAGCGGCTTAGCTCCATCATAGAGAACAAGAAACATGTCCAAATCTCAGACATACTGTTTATTTTTTAGTTGCACCCGATTAGCATCCTCAAGCAGTAAAGCCCTATACAAGCCATCAAGTTTTCCTGGATAAAATGGTAATGACAGTGAGCCTTCTAGAAGGAGCACACTTAATCAAAGATGGACTGACAAGGAAGTGAAGTACAGGGAGGTGGCTGTCTTGTCCTTCCTATAAGGCGCCATATGATCAACTGTGTTTCCAGGTGGCGGCTTAGGAAAAGCTTCATGGAGGACAGTAAGCCCAAGAGGCCCAAGAAGGGTGGGTTTCTTATAAGCAAAGGGCTGTGTCAGTGGGGTGGAGTGCACTTCAAGAGAAAAAGGAACAGCATCCCATCACCATGGGTGTGAGGTCAAGATTTTGACCTCTGCCTTCCACCTTCTGTTGAACTGCTTGATCTACGAGTTGGTGCTGCTACTGTTCACTGCTCAGTACCTGCCAAGTGCTAGGCACTGTTTCAACCATTTATAGGCAAGAACTCTCAATTCTCAAGTGATGCTACAAAGTTATTAGTTACTGCACTGTCCCCACTTCACACGGAGATAAAGGAAGCCTATGGAAGTAACAGATCCAAAGCTTAACAGCTTATAAGCAGGACCCCAACTCCATTGTCATTTTGGCTCCTCTAGTGCTGTGTGCTCCCAGAGTTCCTTTGCTTGGTCCCTGGTATCTCTCCAACACGTTCTTCTACATTCTCTTTCCACACGATTTCACTTTCTAATGGAGGTGAAGGATCACACAACTAGTAAGTGGCAGTTGTGCCCCTGGTGCCCCAGCCGACCACCCCCACCTGCTAACAAGCACTCACAGGTGACTGGAGCCCTGGCTGTGCAGGGGATGTGGGGGGAGGGGTGGGAACAGAGGCTGGGGGGCATGCCGGTCCAGGTCACGGCGGGCCCTGCTGTGTCACTCACAGGATTCTGGATATCATCTCATGGGCCAAGAGGAGATACTGCAGGTTCAAAGTCAGGGGAATGCAGACCCTGGCAGATGGGCAAAAAGCGCTCCAGAAGTGTAGCAGTAGCCAAGATGGGGAGCGAGGGAGAGATGGAATCAGTTAGCCAGGCGAGGAGAAGACAATGACCTACAGCAGCAGGCAGCAAAACTCTTGCTAGGGCAGAGGACAGGATGTGGCAGCTGGATGTGGACAGGGAAGAGGAAGGAGTAGAATGCCAGATTGGGGCTGAGCGGGAGAACATGAAAGCTTAGAAGAAAACTCCATGTCAAACAGTACTGACCAGATGTAGCCCCGTGGGAAACCCTGAGTACCTTCAACAGATGGCCGGTGGTCAGAAGTGGTGTGGGGAGGGGAGGGAGGGTCAAGGCGGTGGCTCCTGTGAATTTTATTAGTTCTTCCAGCCACAGCCAGTCATAATGAGAGCAAACACTTGTGGTATATATCAGTTTTGGCAACAAAAGACAATAAAAGAATTTTTTTTTTTAAGATTTTATTTATTTATTTGAGTGAGAGAGAATGAGAGATAGCACGAGGGGGAAGAGGGTCAGAGGGAGAAGCAGACTCCCTGCTGAGCAGGGAGCCCGACGTGGGACTCGATCCCAGGACTCCAGGATCATGACCTGAGCCAAAGGCAGTCGCTTAACCAACTGAGCCACCCAGGAGCCCGACAATAAAAGAATTTAATCAGAACAGAGAAAAGAGACTTTTTGAAGACAAAGTTCTTATGGAGTTGATTGAAGCATTTTTGATTCTAATGACAGAAAAGAGAAGCTGCCATCTTAGGGGCAAACACACTAGGGCTCAAAAGGAGCTGAGGTGCCCCTCAGCCCTAAGGCAAGCGCAGGAAAGCTCAGGCTACCCTTGTCTGGAGGAAACCATTTTGGACATTGACCTAGGATTCTCAGATGGTCATGCACATTAATTCCCAGAGGCAGGAGTAGCTGTAGCCCACAAAGTACTAGGCAGGCTCAAGTCCAGGACTAAGTCAGCACCTGACAAAGTATGTGCTCCATAAACACCAAAATGCATGAAGTTCAAATAGAAAACTT